AAGACATAAATGACCATTCTCCGGTGTTCACTGAAAGAGAAATGATTCTAAAAATACCAGAAAACAGTCCTCTAGGTGCGGCATTCCCTCTGAGTAATGCTCTGGATTTGGACGTAGGAAGCAACAGTGTTCAGAACTATAAAATCACTCCCAACCCCAATTTTCAAGTTTTAACCCACAATCTCAACGATGGAAGAAAATATCCGGAGCTGGTGTTGGACAGAGAGCTGGATCGGGAGGAGGAGCCTGAAATCGCTTTAACCCTGACCGCGCTGGATGGCGGCTCTCCGCCTCGGTATGGGACCGCCCAGGTGCGCATTGAAGTGGTGGACATCAATGATAATGCTCCTGAGTTTGGGCAGCCACTCTACCAGGTGCATATTCCTGAGAACAGTCATGTAGGCTCCCTGGTCGTCACTCTCTCTGCCAGAGACATAGATAGCGGAGTCAATGGAAAAATAGTATACTCACTCTTTCAGCCCTCTGAAGATATTAGCAAAATTTTGGAGGTAAATCCTATGACAGGAGAAATTCGACTGAGAAGACAAGTGGATTTTGAAACAGTTCGGTCTTATGAAGTGTTCATCAAGGCCACTGATGGGGGAGGTCTTTCGGGAAAATGCACTCTCCTCCTGCAGGTGGTGGATGTCAATGACAACGCCCCGGAAGTGACGGTGTCTGCGCTGACCAGCCCCATCCCAGAGAACTCGCCTGAGACTGTAGTTGCTGTTTTCAGTGTTTCAGATCCTGACTCTGGAGACAATGGGAAGACTGTTTCCACCATCCAGGAGGAGCTTCCTTTTCTTCTAAAACCTTCCGTCAAGAATTTTTACACATTGGTAACAAAGAGAGCGCTGGACAGAGAAGAAAGAGCTGAGTACAACATCACCATCACCGTCACCGACATGGGGACCCCCAGGCTGAAAACCCAGCACAACATCACCCTGCTGGTCTCCGACGTCAACGACAACGCCCCCGCCTTCACCCAGCCCTCCTACAGCCTGTCCCTCCGCGAGAACAACAGCCCCGCCCTGCACATCGGCAGCGTCAGCGCCACAGACAGGGACGCGGGCGCCAACGCCCAGCTCACCTACTCGCTGCTGCCGCCCCGGGACCCGCGCCTGCCCCTGGCCTCGCTGGTGGCCATCAACGCCGACACCGGCCAGCTGTTCGCGCTGCGGGCGCTGGACTTCGAGGCGCTGCGGGCGTTCGAGTTCGGCGTGGGCGCCACGGACCGCGGGGCGCCCGCGCTGAGCAGCCAGGCGCTGGTGCGCGTGCAGGTGCTGGACGCCAACGACAACGCGCCCTCCGTGCTGTACCCGCCGCACAACGGCTCCGCGCCCTGCACCGAGCTGGTGCCCAGGGCGGCCGAGCCGGGCTACCTGGTGAGCAAGGTGGTGGCGGTGGACGCCGACTCGGGCCAGAACGCCTGGCTGTCGTTCCAGCTGCTCAGGGCCACGGAGCCCGGGCTGTTCGGCGTGTGGGCGCACAATGGCGAGGTGCGCACGGCGCGGCCGCTGGGCGAGCGCGACGCGGCCAGGCACAGGCTGGTGGTGCTGGTCAGGGACCATGGCGAGCCCGCGCTGTCCGCCAGCGTCACGCTGCACGTGCTGCTGGTGGACGGCTTCTCGCAGCCCTACCTGCCGCTGCCCGAGGCGGCGGCCGAGCAGGCGCGGGCGGATCCGCTGACCGTGTACCTGGTGGTGGCGCTGGCGGCGGTGTCGTCGCTGTTCCTGTTCTCGGTGCTGGCGTTGGTGGCGGTGCGGCTGTGCAGGCGGAGCAGGGCGGCCTGGGCGGGTGGCTGCTCGGTGCCTGAGGGCCACCTTCCTGGCCACCTGGTGGACGTGAGCGGTACTGGGACCCTGTCCCAGAGCTACCAGTATGAGGTGTGTCTGATGGGAGGTACTGGGACAGATGAGTTTAAATTTCTGAAGCCAATTATTCCCAATCTTCCAGTCCATGACACTGGTAAGAATGTAGAAGAGAATGAGAACTTTAGGAATAGCTTTGGATTCAATATTCAATAATTTTTTTAATTTTAATTTATTATTCTCGGAATATTCTCCGTATGTCAGAGGGGAGGTTCTGGAACCAAAGTTGCTAAAACCAGTTATTCCTGAACTCAAATCCCAGAGCAGGGGGGTAAGTGGAAGAAAATCCCTTCTTTTGGACTAACTTTGGGAATTAATTATGGATAGGAACCTAGTTAATAAAGACATTAGCTTCTAACATATTTTGTAAATAGCTAGATGAGTTTTGCCCACCACCAATAAGGTGTTGTTTAATTTTCTCTATTTCACCCTCAATTACCAATATTATGCTTCACTTCAGAAGTTTTCTTTTCCTTATTCTTTAACTCAGTGAAGTATTTTTCAATAGAATTTCAATGAATGAAATAGAGTTTATTTAAAATGGATGTCATTCAGTTTTTCTACCCTATAAATGTTGTTATTGACTTTTAATTTACATTTTTATTTTAGTTCTTTTCTAGAACTTCAATTATTCATATAATCTGCTGCTTGTGATCTGTACATTTATTTTCCATACTTCTATTTTCCTTTTACTTATTATTTTGTTAATTCTCACCCAAGGATATTTTTCCATTGGTTATTAGAGAGAGTGGAAGGAGAGAGAGTGAAATATTGATATCTCACATGTGCCCCACCAATAGCCCCACAGACTAGGGATGGAACCTACAAGATTGGGTATTGAACTAATAACCTTTCAGTGAAGGGGCCAATGTTGTAACCACTTAGCAGATGGGCCAGGGCTTCCTTTTAAAACTGATATATTTGTTAGTTTGTCATCTCAGTTTTTATTATACCAATTTTCTGAAACTATGTTGTGTTTTTTTCCAAAAAATATATTTTATTGATTTTTTACAGAGAGGAAGGGAGAGAGATAGAGAGCTAGAAATGTTGATGAGAGAGTAACATCGACCAGCTGCCTCTTGTACACCCCCTACCGGGGATGTGCCCGCAGCCAATGTACATGCCCTTGACTGGAATCGAACCCGGGACCCTTCAGTCTGCAGAGTAGACAGACGCTCTATCACTGAGCCAAACCGGTTTCAGCCTATGTTGCTTTTTAAAACAGTTTTATTTCCCCTGAATTAGTATCTGCCTATTTAATATATACTATTCCTGTTATGATATGATAAATAAATGTCTAATCAGCTTTATCTAAAAATATTAAGAAATAACATTGTAAGATATCAAATCTGTGTACATGTGTTTAAAGTTTGGAGACCAAAAAAGAGAAGTTTAGGCATTTTACAACACCATATAGAAATATTTAATAATTTTTTGCTTTTAATTCTATATGAAAAAAATCAAAGATCCTTATTAAGTTTTTAATGACTAACAATACAGTCCTATTCACTTGAAAAGAAAACAGTAGAAATCAGCAAGCAGATGTTTCTATAGTGTGGCTTTCATGTTCAACAATCAGAGAGTTTTTGGCAATAGTTAGCCTTTTCCCTGTATAACATACCTCATTTATTCTGTGTCTCTTATTTACTATCAGAAAAATAGAGTTTCTGTTTAGATATTGGGCTTTTTAATAAAAGTCTATATGAGGCAGGTGTTACAATGCTGTTCTTACCTTCGGTGGTATAAAAACAGGCATTTGTGTGGTCTACTCTTTGCCTTCCTTTCTTTGGTGAAGAGAAATTAAATCCCATTATATTTTTATTAAGGTTGTGATTAAAATAAAGATGAGTCCCTTCTTTAATTCTTCAAATAACCTTAAAGCCAATGTAAGAAAAAACAAAGACAGTAAATAAAGGGAACAAGCTGAAACCGGTTTGGCTCAGTGGTAGAGCATCAGTCTGCAGACTGAAAGGTCCCAGGTTCAATTCCGATCAAGGGCTGTACATTAGTTGCGGGCACATCCCCTGTAGGGGGTGTGCAAGAGGCAGCTGGTTGATGTTTGTCTCTCATCGATGTTTCTAGCTCTCTATCCCTCTCTCCTCCTCTCTAAAAAATGAATAAAATATATTTTTTAAAAATAAAGGGAACAAAATTGCAAAAGAATAAGTGAAGGAATACAATTTTTAAACAGCAAGGATTTAGAGACACTAAAATTGTGTTTATCCTACACAAGGGCTCATTTATGCATGCCTGTATACAGCAAGCATTTAGTGAGTGTCTGATTTGCCAATGAAAGATAACCAAGACTAAGTAGGGACAGATTGGCATGAAATAGGAAACTATAATATGTACAGGAGAGTTATACAAGATTTTATGGTAGCACAGAGAAAGGACAACTTAAATGCTCTCTTCTAGATTATAGAGTGATGACTATTTAGGCAGAGTAATTATGTTTTGAAGAAATTTGTTGAAGAAACTGTGAAACAAGTTTCTTTGGTCAGTTCTTGATGTTCCTAGCCATGATGTTTCTGAAAAAGGAAAATCTATTATTTTGGTAATCTCAGAAGTCTCTACAATTTTCCCTTTGGTTCCTGACATTGCATGGGGGTAGTTTCAAAAGTGGAAGGCCCCATACATAGCTAAATATAGTACAGTGAGATGCACAGAGTTAACTGCTAGAAACATTCTTTTTGCAACTGTTCTTTTTACTTTCCTCATGAAACAATGAACCATCTCAACAAACTTGAACAGTTTTCTACTCAACATTATATTTTACAAAACAAACACAAGAAAAATGGAATAGTTAAACAATCCACTCAGGAAGAAATGTATAAATATATATGCACACACTTTAAGTGCAGCCATTGGAGTCTATTGGAAGCCAGGAGGTGGCGCTGTAGGCTAAAGAGTCAAAATAAAGAATTGAATTAAGAATGCTGCGGAAGTCACTGACAAAAAAAAAAAAAAGAAAGAATGCAGCAGGCAGGCTGGGAGAAAAGCCATAGCTGTTCAAGACTGCGGGAAGAAAACAAAATTCTAGACCCCTGCCACTACATGGTGTAGGTCTAGGGTTTGAAACTGATGTTTCTTTATGCTGGGAGCTGTGACTGTGACGGATATTGACAAAAGATGTGTTCAGAAGAAGCTATGGAGGCTGGAGGGTTGTGCTGCTCCAGACAAAGGCAAGTCCTATTTCTCTTTCTGTTTTGGAGGGTATCCTTGGCAGGATCTGTGTTTGGACGATATTCAGTGACAGAGGAAACAGAGAGAGGATCGTTTGTGGTCAATCTGGCAAAGGATCTGGGGCTAGGGGATTGGGAGCTGGTTGCAAGGGGAGCCCGGGTGGTCTTTGATGATAACAAACAGCATTTGCTCCTGGACTCTCATACTGGAGATTTGTTCACAAATGAGATACTGGATCGGGAGAAGCTGTGTGGCTCCACGGAACCCTGTATGCTGTATTTCCAAATTTTAATGGATAACCCCTTTCAGATTTACCGGGCTGAGCTGAGGGTCAGGGATATAAATGATCACTCACCAATGTTTCAGAACAAAGAGACAGACTTAAAAATATTAGAAAATACAGCTGAAGGGACAACATTTCGACTAGAAAGAGCACAGGATTCAGATGGAGGACTTAACGGTATCCAAAACTACACCATCAGTCCCAACTCTTTTTTCCATATTAAAATTGGTGACAGTGATGAAGGCATGATATATCCGGAGCTAGTGTTGGACAAGGCGCTGGACAGGGAGAAGCAGCAAGAGCTCAGTTTAACACTCACAGCACTTGATGGCGGGTCTCCACCCAGGTCTGGGACCTCCACTATACGCATTGTGATTGTGGATGTCAATGACAATGCCCCACAGTTTCCTCAGGCAATCTACCAGGCCCAGGCTCCAGAGAACAGCCCCGTGGGTTCCATTATTGCTACAGTCTCTGCATCAGATGCAGACTCTGGGATCTATGCAGAGATAGCCTACTCATTTTTTGATGCTTCTGAAGATATTCACTCAACCTTTCAAATCAATCCCGTTTCTGGGGAAATCGTTCTCAGAGTGTTGCTTGATTATGAGCTAGTAAAATCTTACAAAATAAATATACAGGCAGTCGACGGTGGCGGCCTTTCTGCAAGGTGTACGGTTTTGGTTGAGGTATTAGACACCAATGACAATCCCCCTGAGCTGATCATGTCATCACTTTCCAACCATGTTCCTGAGAACTCTCCTGAAATAATATTGGCCGTTTTTAAGATTAAAGACAGAGACTCTGGAGAAAATGGGAAAATGATTTGCTACATTCAAGATAACCTGCCATTCCTTCTGAAACCCTCTGTGGAGAATTTTTACATTCTAATGACAGAAGGAGCTCTGGACAGAGAAAGCCAAGCAGAGTACAATATCACCATCACTGTCACCGACATGGGCACCCCCAGGCTGAAAACCCAGCACAACATCACCCTGCTGGTCTCCGACGTCAATGACAACGCCCCCGCCTTCACCCAGCCCTCCTACAGCCTGTCCCTCCGCGAGAACAACAGCCCCGCCCTGCACATCGGCAGCGTCAGCGCCACAGACAGGGACGCGGGCGCCAACGCCCAGCTCACCTACTCGCTGCTGCCGCCCCGGGACCCGCGCCTGCCCCTGGCCTCGCTGGTGGCCATCAACGCCGACACCGGCCAGCTGTTCGCGCTGCGGGCGCTGGACTTCGAGGCGCTGCGTGCGTTCGAGTTCGGCGTGGGCGCCACGGACCGCGGGGCGCCCGCGCTGAGCAGCCAGGCGCTGGTGCGCGTGCAGGTGCTGGACGCCAACGACAACGCGCCCTCCGTGCTGTACCCGCCGCACAACGGCTCCGCGCCCTGCACCGAGCTGGTGCCCAGGGCGGCCGAGCCGGGCTACCTGGTGAGCAAGGTGGTGGCGGTGGACGCCGACTCGGGCCAGAACGCCTGGCTGTCGTTCCAGCTGCTCAGGGCCACGGAGCCCGGGCTGTTCGGCGTGTGGGCGCACAATGGCGAGGTGCGCACGGCGCGGCCGCTGGGCGAGCGCGACGCGGCCAGGCACAGGCTCGTGGTGCTGGTCAGGGACCATGGCGAGCCCGCGCTGTCCGCCAGCGTCACGCTGCACGTGCTGCTGGTGGACGGCTTCTCGCAGCCCTACCTGCCGCTGCCCGAGGCGGCGGCCGAGCAGGCGCGGGCGGATCCGCTGACCGTGTACCTGGTGGTGGCGCTGGCGGCGGTGTCGTCGCTGTTCCTGTTCTCGGTGCTGGCATTGGTGGCGGTGCGGCTGTGCAGGCGGAGCAGGGCGGCCTGGGCGGGTGGCTGCTCGGTGCCTGAGGGCCACCTTGCTGGCCACCTGGTGGACGTGAGCGGTACTGGGACCCTGTCCCAGAGCTACCAGTATGAGGTGTGTCTGATGGGAGGCTCAGGGACCAGCGAATTCAAGTTTTTGAAGCCAATTCTTCCCAATATTCAGGAACAGGTCCTTGAGAGGAATAGTGAAGAAAACCCCACCATACAAAATAGCTTTGGATTTAATTTTTAGTAAAAATTCTTTTTATATTTTCATCTACTTTTGAAGTATTTTACAAGCATATAAATATTAGTTTAGTTTTAAAACTCCACGTTAAATTATTATGCAACTTCAAGCCTAATACTTTTTCATCTTTTGTGTGTGTGGTTTTCTTTTTTTAATTTTTAATTTAATTTTCGGAGTGAGAAAGAGATGGAGATAGAAACCAATGATAAGAGAATCATTGACCCGCTGCCTCCTGCACGCCACCTACTGGGGATCGAGCTTGTAACCCTGGCATATGCCCTTACTGGGAATAGAACAGTGATCTCTGATTCATGGGTGACGCTCAATCACTGAACCACAAGGCCGGGCAAACCTAACTTTAAATTACTTTATGTTTTTACAGTGTTCTTTTATCATATTTGCATTAATCAACAGTTAGTTTAATTAGTACCTATTTTAAAATAATTGTTTTAAGGTTTAATTCTTTGGCTGTGTACAGTGATTTAGTTATTTTTCATTCTAGAAAAGAAGTCTTTATTTTTCTCTTAGTATATTTCACAGACTACATTGGATTATTCTACCCACCCATCTATTGTATTGCCTGCATGTAAGAAGACATACCTGCACTTCAGACCTTACTCTAACACTGTGTTTAATCCTGTTAGAAATCCATGTCATCTAGTTCTAAAGCATAGCATTTATAAAGAAATAGTTCTCTATTATTCTGCTCTGATAAAATAAAGCATCTTTTTGTGAGCAATGTTGGACTCCGATAATATCCTTGTTTATATTATTATGTCATTTCCTTTACATACACTACTCTTACACAGTATTTTCTAATGTTTTCTTTTGCTGATATATAAATCGAACATGTCATATAATTCAAATAAAATGTAATAACCTGCATGAAAATTAATATAAATAAAATCATTTTGAAAGTTTGAATGTGAGAATGTTGGTGAACTGTTGAAAAGATATTTATTTTTAATTTTATTTTGTAAATTTGTTTAATTATCAAATTTAAAAATCAAGATATATTAAAGTCATAAAGAAAAAAATAGATTTTTTAAAATCTCCAGATACTTTCTATAAGTGGTTTCTCTAGAGCTGATCTCAATATTTCTAAGCAATATGTTTATATGTTCTATTTTGACATTCAGATTTATACTATAATTGCCTCTTCCTATGATAAAAAAGGATTTAACTTTTTTCTTTCTAACTAATAACCCTCATACATTGCTCATTTCCTTTCCCCTGTTTTCCTAATAGAGTTGTCATGGAGTTTTTTTTAGTTAAACTAATTATTTTTGCCTATATTATAGCTATGGTTATTTCAGAATACATGATGGAATACTATGATTACATTTACTTTCTTAAAAACATTTTTCCTAGACTTGATAATTGTTTTTACTTGCATAATTTTCTACTTACTGGTATTAATTTTTCACATTATTTTTTCATTTGAATATTAATCTTTCTCCTCAAATATACCAGATATCTATTAACTATATTTATTTCCTTAAGATCTTCCACACAGATCCCTTCATATCTCTGCTTCATTTTACTGGTTGCTGTATAAGCAGTCACTCTAGGACTTTTTTTTTCTTTAAATACTTTCCCCTATTGAGTTCCCTTTTATAAAACCCAGAGTATTCTTTTTTAGTTAACTCCCTTATTTATCTGACACACATCTCTTATTACTATATAATAAAAGCTTAATATACTAAGTGTCTGACATTCATTTGACCATTCGAGCAGTTGCTATGATGTGCACTGACCACCAGGAGGCAGATGCTCCCACCAGTAGATTAGTTTGCTGCTAGGGTCTGGCCAGTTGGGACTGGGCCAGTCTACCAGACTCAACTGGAGCCCTCTCTGGTTCCTCCCCAGCCCCAAGCACCAGTGGTGTTCCTTGGCCTGGCCTCTGCCTTCTTGCAATCTGGGACCCCTTGGGAAGTGTCAGAGAGCTGGTTTCTCAATTCCTAAAGGCCATGCCAAGAGCCCCTAGTAGTTTAATAAACATGGATGCAGATAACTTACCTTGTGAAGGTATCATCATTTTCTTTCCATTTGATTGATAGTTTGGCTGGGTATAAAGTTTTGCTTAAAAATAATTTTCCCTCTGATTTTGAAAGCATATTACATCTACTGGTTGTGTATACAGTTGCTGTTCTTCTGATTCTATTCTGATTACTATCTTTTTTTAAAAAAATTTTTTTAAATTTATTTTTTACAGAGAGTTAGGATAGTTCGGAACATCATTGAGAGAGAAACATCAATCAGCTGCCTCCTACACACACACACACACACACACACACACACACACACACACTGGGGATGTGCCCACAACCAAAATAGATACCCTTGACTGAATCAAATCTGGGACACTTCAGTCAACAGGCCGATGCTCTATCCACTGAGCCAAACCAGTTAGGGTTGATTTCTATCTCTTTTAATGTCAATCCTTTGTGTTTGTGTGTTTTGTTTTGTTTTCATTGAGGGTGCATTGGAAACTTTTCCCTTGATTTCTGAAAATTCCTTAGTGTCAGCTATGTATTATTATGGCCACATGGGTCTACCCCATTTATGTTTAGACCCTCATTCAATTCTGAGAAAAATTTTGTTTCCTTCACAATCTCTCCCTTGAATTTTCTACATTCTCATTTTAACCAGAATCTCATTAGTTAAATATTGGATCTCTAGGATTGAATCTCTCTTTTTTTCTTTGTCTCTTATTCTACTTTTTGAACAATTGTTTTATTATTCAATTCTCTTATATTTGTTTTCTTTTGGGGCTTGGAAATATATATTTTTTTAATATATTGTTTTTGTACAGAGAGGAAGGGAGAGAGATAGAGAGCTAGAAACATCAATGAGAGAGAGTCATTGATCAGCTGCCTCTTGCACACCCCCCACTGGGGATATGCCCGCAACCAAGGTACATGCCCTTGAGCAGAATCAAACCCAGGTCCCTTGAGTCCCCAAGCCAACGCTCTATCCATTGAGCCAAACCGGCCTCGGTGGAAATATTTTTAAGAGCTCTTTGTGTTTTATGAGTATTTTTCATAGCATGCTGTTATATATTTATAAATGTAATATCTCTCTGGTTTATAATCAATCTACTTATTCTTTTTAAATGCACTGTGCAAAAAATTAATTATTCAGTAAAACTATTATCCCATTTTTAAAATGGGATAATCTTTAAAGATAAGAACTTACCCAAGATTGTATAGCTAGTAAGGGGCACTTACGCCCTAATCTACTCTCATGTAACAATAAGATTACATACTTCATACAGTTAATATTAAGATTAAATGGGTATGCACACATATATGGCACTAGAACAATATATGGCACTAGAACAATCAGCAGCAAAAAAAATAAATACTCAGTGAGTATTAACTCTTATTAGATTTTATTATACATTTTAAAGGCTTTGTTTCTGTTTTCTTTATTATATATGCTTGTTTCCTGATGTTGCTTTTTTTGTGGTGATTTTGGCTTTTTTTATGTCAGGTGTAGGTATTTCCTCAAATGTCTGTGGTCTTTGTCTCTCTTCCTATATTTAAGAAAGATGAAATATCATAGTACTGACATTCAGCTCTGTGAATATATGAGGCCTGTTGATGTCAGGGCTTCACTCTATGTAACCATGTAAGAGAAAGTTACTTTCTTGGGGGCCCTCAAATATCAACATGTTTGTTTATTTATTTATTTATTTATTTATTTATTTATTTATTAGACTGAGGCTCACTGAGGGGTTGAGACTCTTTTTTTAAAAAATATATATATATTTTATTGATTTCATACAGAGAGGAAGGGAGAGAGATAGAGAGTGAGAAACATCGATGAGAGAGAGTCATTGATCAGCTGCCTCTTGCACACCCCCTACTGGGGATATGCCCGCAACCAAGGTACATGCCCTTGACCGGAATCGAACCCAGGACCCTTCAGTCCCCAAGACGACTCTCTATCCATTGAGCCAAACCGGTCCTGGCATCATGTTTAAGTTTTTATGTGTGTCTTTCATATCCTCCAGGTTAGAATTCTGCAATATCTTCTGTGAGAGAGAGAGTTAGGGAGGGGATCGGACATGTGCCTTGTGTCCTACAATTGGAGAGTATTGTTTGTATCACCTTGCAGCATACATTTTTTGTTTAATCTTTCTATTTTTACTTTCACACCTCATACTAGCTCTGCCTAAGGTCTCCAAAACTAGACATAGTCCCATTTAATTTCTCAATTGAAAAAATTTTACATTTTCTGGCCCCAAGGTTTTTGTTTTTTTTTTTCTCTCCTATATAGGATAATAGAATCTGAGAATTCAACTCTCCTATGTATGTACATTCAACTATAAACTTATGTTTAGTTCTCAACTGACTTCAGTCTTCTTATACACTTGACTCCTAAAAAGCTTGTACCTAAATGGAGTAATTTTGGGACAAAATCACTGGTTTATTGTGAATATCTCCAATGCAAAAACTTTACTTTAGACATTTCTTAGAACTTCTAAGTCAGCTGCCCTTCCATCTGCTTACTGTTATCAAGTATATATGTGTTTACTTGCACATTCTTAGTCTTTGTGAGTTTATACCATTTTTATTTTTATCATTGTAGAGGGTATTTTAAAAGAAGGGAGAATAACTTGGGTAGTCAATCCACTTATTTTTAAATTTCTACCCTTTTGTGGTGATTGATTTTCAACAATTTAGCTTACATTTTTAAGAATGTAATTTGTACTTAACAAGTTAAAAATGTAAACTTGTTAGATCTCTCTTCCATCCATTCTTGAGAGCACTTTGAGACTTCCTCTAGTGCACATTACTGCTGAGCTCCTAGCATCTATTCCAAAGAATCTCTGTCATTATGTAGCAACCATGCCCTTTATCTAGTAAGAGGTGGTCAGAGACTGAATTAAAACAAAGCAAAGGCTAAAGATGGGTCTTCAGATTCTAAGACTAAAATCTCCACCTATAATTATTTACCTCTTGAAACAAGATTGTTTCAGTAGCAGGTATATGATCTTAGTTGGTCTAATCAGAATAAAACTAAGTTTTTGTTATATAATTGGTAAAGAAAATCTCTCTCCTCCCTCTGAACTAAAAGAAAAAGCAGATCATCATAGTTGTAGCCAGAATAAATCTTGAGAATCTGAAGGAAACCAATTTTAGAGGTAACCCTGCTTCAAATAAAACTAACATGTTTGTGTTTGTGTACTTATTAATTTTGTTGTAAATTACGAGAAACTAGAACTAAATTAGAGATTTACATATTGTGTTCCACTTCAATAGCTTTTACTTAATTTCTTCCAGTTCACAGGTCATGGATATCAAAGAAATCTAATGAAATGTCTTCTTGTGCTATAATAACTATCTATATATGTCCCATCTCATGATTAAGCCAGTTTCATATCTTCTTAAGGAACTTCTGAAATGTCACATGTACACTTTCCCTTTCCCTTACCACCTAAAGAAAGCCAGGTAGTGATGTGCTTTTGCTCACTTTAACAGTCATTTTTACTCTCCTTATTTTAGGCTTTCAATCTTCTCATAAAAAGTACAAGCTCTTGGAGGCCAGGAATTGTATCTTGTATTTCGATATTCACAACTGAGCACTTTCCGTGTTGGGAGAGTGGGGTGGGACACTTGAATGCGTTAAAAACAAATACTAACAGCATCAAAAACTACAAAGAGTATAAATCAATTCTTATGGGAGATAGAATATATTTGCAATCACTTAAACACAATGAATACAACATTTGTTTCTAGAGGACATTATGTGAATGGAATTTAGGTAGCTTTCACCAAACTGAAAATCTGTGCAGACGCATGGTGGCGCTGCAGGATAATATCGTGGGGGAGAAAAACTGCGCTGATGACGCTGTTACCCACTGCACACAGAGCATTGGAGAGATTAAAAACAATAAGCCTTAAGGAGGCGAACTAGAAGCTATTCAAAAAGGTTAAAATGCTTAGACCTTCCTAAGATTCGGTGGACATAGCAGAGGCACATTTCCCACAACTGCAAAGTGGAGCTGAAGCGATTCTGCAGAAACCCTTGGGGGAAAGAAGCTATGGAGAACGAAGGAGCCGGCACCCTGCGGATAAGGCAAGTCCTGCTGTTCTTTGTTTTTCTGATGTCTCGGGCGGACTCTGAGTCTGGGCGCTTTTCGGTGGAAGAGGAAATGAAGAGCGGGAGCTTTGTAGGCAATTTGGCAAAGGACCTAGGACTGGATGTGGGTGAGCTGTTCTCAAGGGGGGCTCGGGTGGTCTCTAACGATAACAAACACCATTTGCAGCTGGACGTCAACACCGGGGATTTGCTTTTAAGCGAAGCGCTAGACCGGGAGGAGCTCTGTGGCTCCACCGAGCCCTGTGTTCTGCATTTCCAGGTGTTAATGAAAAGCCCTTTGCAGTTTTTACAGATTGAGCTCCAGGTCAAGGATATAAATGATCACTCTCCTGTCTTCTTAGAAAAAGAAATTCTCCTAGAAATCCCAGAGAATAGTCCTGTCGGCGCTGTGTTCTTACTAGAAAATGCGAAGGATTTAGATGTAGGAATCAATGCTCTAAAAACCTACACAATAAGCCCCAACTCTCATTTTCACGTTAAAATGAGAATCAATCCAGACAATAGAAAATACCCAGAGTTAGTTCTGGACAAGGCGCTGGATTATGAAGAGCAGTCGGAGCTCAGTTTCATCCTCACTGCTCTGGATGGTGGGTCTCCGCCCAGGTCTGGGACCGCCTTAGTGCGTGTGGTGGTCTTGGACACTAATGACAACTCCCCGGAGTTTGAGCAGCCCTTTTATGAGGTGAAGATTCCGGAAAATAGCTTATTAGGCTCACTGGTTGTCACCGTCTCAGCTTGGGACTTAGACTCTGGGAAAAATGGGGAAATATCATATACTTTTTCCCATGCCTCAGAAGATGTTCACAAAACATTTGAAATTAATCCAAAGTCTGGAGAAGTTAATTTAATGGCATATTTGGATTTTGAAACAATTGAATCATATTCAATCATAATACAAGCCACAGATGGGGGAGGCCTCTTTGGAAAATCGACAGTCAGGATTCAGGTGATGGATATAAATGACAATGCTCCTGAAGTCACCGTGTCATCAGTGACTAGTCCAATTCCAGAAAACTCATCTGAGACTGTGGTTCTGGTTTTTAGTATCCTAGACAGAGATTCTGGGGACAATGGGAGGATGCTTTGTTCTATCCCAGAAGACCTGCCATTCATACTAAAATCTTCAGTAAAGAATTACTATACATTGGAAACGGAGGGAGCACTGGACAGAGAAAGCCAAGCAGAGTACAACGTCACCATCACCGTCACCGACTTGGGGACCCCCAGACTGAAAACCCAGCACAACATCACCCTGCTGGTCTCCGACGTCAACGACAACGCCCCCGCCTTCACCCAGCCCTCCTACACCCTGTTCCTCCGCGAGAACAACAGCCCCGCCCTGCACTTCGGCAGCGTCAGCGCCACAGACAGGGACGCGGGCGCCAACGCCCAGCTCACCTACTCGCTGCTGCCGCCCCGGGACCCGCGCCTGCCCCTGGCCTCGCTGGTGGCCATCAACGCCGACACCGGCCAGCTGTTCGCGCTGCGGGCGCTGGACTTCGAGGCGCTGCGTGCGTTCGAGTTCGGCGTGGGCGCCACGGACCGCGGGGCGCCCGCGCTGAGCAGCCAGGCGCTGGTGCGCGTGCAGGTGCTGGACGCCAACGACAACGCGCCCTCCGTGCTGTACCCGCCGCACAACGGCTCCGCGCCCTGCACCGAGCTGGTGCCCAGGGCGGCCGAGCCGGGCTACCTGGTGAGCAAGGTGGTGGCGGTGGACGCCGACTCGGGCCAGAACGCCTGGCTGTCGTTCCAGCTGCTCAGGGCCACGGAGCCCGGGCTGTTCGGCGTGTGGGCGCACAATGGCGAGGTGCGCACGGCGCGGCCGCTGGGCGAGCGCGACGCGGCCAGGCACAGGCTGGTGGTGCTGGTCAGGGACCATGGCGAGCCCGCGCTGTCCGCCAGCGTCACGCTGCACGTGCTGCTGGTGGACGGCTTCTCGCAGCCCTACCTGCCGCTGCCCGAGGCGGCGGCCGAGCAGGCGCGGGCGGATCCGCTGACCGTGTACCTGGTGGTGGCGCTGGCGGCGGTGTCGTCGCTGTTCCTGTTCTCGGTGCTGGCGTTGGTGGCGGTGCGGCTGTGCAGGCGGAGCAGGGCGGCCTGGGCGGGTGGCTGCTCGGTGCCTGAGGGCCACCTTGCTGGCCACCTGGTGGACGTGAGCGGTACTGGGACCCTGTCCCAGAGCTACCAGTATGAGGTGTGTCTGATGGGAGGTACTGGGACAGATGAGTTTAAGTTTCTGAAGCCAATTAGCCCTAACCTCCAGATCCAGAGCTCTGGGAAAGAAATGGAGGAAAATTCTACCTTCCACAATAGCTTTGGATTCAATATTAAGTGACCATCATTACCTTTTAAACCCCATACGTATTTTTATTTTGTGCCACTTCCATACCAGTGATTTCTCTCCCAATTTGTGGATATTTTAAGTATGTCTTAAAATAGACTTTAGAGAGAGGGAGAAAAACACTGATAGGCCGACTCTTGCATGGCCCCCTACTGGAGATTGAGCTGCAACCTGGAGATGTGCCCAGACTGGGAATCTAGCAGGTGATCTCTCAGTGCATGGGAAGATGCTCAATCAACTGAGCCTCACCGCCCAGATTCAATATGTGGGTATTTAAAATTGCATTGATCTTAGTTTTATATTTTTGCATGTTCTACCACCTTTACTTTTAAGTGAATGCTTATTATTATTTGTGGTTGTAATAAGGTGGTGATTTATTCTCTAACCCAGAAGGTCTTCATTTGTAATTAATTTGCCTCCTTAAATAACAATACCAAGTCACTGTTTGTTCCTGACTCTCTCTGCAATTGAACTTTCACCCACAATTAGGCTTATAGTAAAATAATGCAGAGCACTTTCAAAGTATTTTAAGTGTTCAAGCATTTCTTCCTTTTTGCTTTTTCTTGTGGTTTAATCATGGTTGTATTCAGAAATGCCACTTTTCTTTCCTTAAAAATTCACTGCATTTTAGTTAACGTTTAAAAAGGTTTATTACTGTTGAAAATATACCTGAAAATTCATGTCCTATGATACAAGCATGAGTGTAGTCAACTTTTTATAAAGGTCAATTTTTTCAGCATCGTTTCATTATTCTTTCTGAAGCATGGTTTAGAAGGCATGTTGATATTGTGACCATTCACAGAATCTTGGAATAAAAATTATAATCTTTCAGATGTCTCATGAATGTTCCAAAACTATAATGCAATCCAGTTGAAAACTGGCACCTGAATAATATTTTGTATAGCATAAATTGGGCTTGGGTGCTACTGTGTATAATATTTTGTCTCCTGTGTACACACACACACACACACACACACACACACACAGTGGGCACTGATTTTCAAACAATTATAGCCAATAGAATAATTATCATGTATATAACATAATTTCTTTGTAATATACAAAGAAATGTTTTTCAATAACAGATTTCTTGTTGATGCAATCTCAAATTACCTGTATTATTTCATTTTCAAATGTGGTCATCATAAATTGATTTAGTGACCTACTAATGGGTAGCAATCCCAAGTTTAAATTGACTATAGTATAGAAGAAAAAACCTCAAACAATTTTGAGTATGAGTTTTCCAATAAATTTCATAAAAAATCTAAAGTCTATATGTTGTGGAAATAAAGTGTAGATGAACAAAATGTGTCAAGAATAGCGGAAAAGAGAGGGAGAGAGAGAGAGGGAGAGAACGCATTGGAAAGAGATGAGTGAGAATGAGTAAAATGCTTGCTTCTAGTGCTTCTAGTGCTGCAGACTATAATGAATGCCAGAAAGAACATCCTGAGGATATTTTTAAACTTTATCTTAACATTATAGAGGGTCTGGGTATTAGTCAGTTAATATTGCCAGGAAACACAATCTCTTGTCCAAATCAATCTGTTTAAACTTCTTGAAAGCTAAGATTTCATTACCAGTGCTTTTTAACTTTGTGGGCTGATTATTTATTCTTTGAATTCCAGACAAATGGAGGGAACAAATTACATTCTAATTTTCCACTTTTGGAAGTGGAGCTAAGAGAAAGTTCTTTTCCCCTCTAAATGAAAGCTGCAACCAAAGCCATACAACATTAATAAATGTTAAGTATTAAGATTACTTCCTGTTTTTACCATACTTAGTGGGGAAATGATGGAGGACCACTAGCTTAAAGAGATATAATGTGTTACAGATTCCTACCATGTCAGGTGATAATAATCCTAGGAGCTAAATACTATCATTACCCCTGTTTTACAGGTCAGGAAACAGAGATACATAAATTGTCCAAGATGGCAGATAGTAAGTGGCAGATTAGAATTCTAATGTAGACATTGTTGTTTTAAAATCCATGTTTGTAATCACTATGCTATGTTGCCTCTGAGGCCTAAGATGTCCCTTCTAGGTCTTTCTATGTTGTTATTTATGCATATATTGTGACATATTTTAATTACCTACTGTCAAATTTTCTAGTCTGTGAGCTCCATAAAGACAAGGGTTATCTCTGTCTTATATGCCATATCCTTATATGTGTATTTTAAAAAATACATAAGTGAAAAAGCAATGATGTTACTAACTATAATCGACTGAACTCAAGTATTTACAAGAGTTGAGAAGGAAGTATATTTGCAATTAGTCAAGAGATAGCCTGAATAAAATATTATTTCTTCAGTTCAAGACATTTTTACAGATTTTTCTTGTAGGTATTCAAACCAGTGATAATTAAATGCGGAGTTTGGATCCCATTGGAAACAAACCAACAATTAAAACATTGTTGGAAAAACTGGGGAAACCAAGCATAGACTGAGAATAAATTATATCAAGGAATTATTGCTAACTGGGTTGATTTTTGATAGTGGTATAGTAGTTATATTTTTAAGTCCTTGCCTATTACAGATACTTAATGAAGTATTTAGAGGTAAAACTATGATGTCTGGGATTTGCTTTAAAATATTCTAGATGTATTCATGAATGAATTCTTCAAAGAAAAAACAATTTTTACTGAAAAAAAAATCCGTAAGAGACACATGGTGGCGCTGCAGGATAAGATGAAAACAGTGCATGGACCACCCTGAGGACTCCATTATTCAAGGGAACAGAGAACAGTCAACCCATTCAAGAGCTTCACTTTCAGAGCTGCCAGAGGGCTCTACACCCTCCAGGGTTTACTTATTCTAAAAAATCAGAGCTTTGGCTTCCAAAATTAGGGCTAAACTTAATTTTTTCCACAAAGGAGATTGCTTGAAGGAACCATGGAGATCAGAGGAGCGCTCACTTTCCGGAAAAGGCAAGTCGCCATTCTCTTTGTTTTGCTGGGATTGTCTGAGGCGGGTCCTGAATCTGTGCGCTATTCTGTGGCGGAGGAAGCCGATATTGGCTCTTTTGTGGCCAATCTGGCAGGGGATCTGGGGCTTGGGGTGGAGGAGCTGTCCTCCCGAGAGCCCCGGATAGTTTCTGATGATAATGGAAGGCATTTGCATCTCAATTTATTGACTGGGGATTTGCTCCTAAATGAGAGACTGGACCGAGAGGAGCTGTGCGGCTCTGCGGAGCCCTGCGTGTTGCATTTTCAGGTGTTACTGCAAAACCCTTTACATTTTTTTCGGGCTGAGCTGCACATCAAAGATATAAATGATCACTCCCCTACGTTCCTGGACAAGGAAATACTTTTGAAAATCTCAGAGGGTACCACTCTTGGAACTACATTCCCAATGGAGAGTGCCCAAGATTTGGACATAGGAAGCAACAGTCTCCAAAACTATACAATCAGCCCCAATTCTCATTTCTACATTAAAATTCAAGACAGCGGTGATGGAAAGATATACCCAGAACTGGTCCTAGACAGGATGTTAGATCACGAAAAGGAGCCTGAGCTCAGATTAACCCTTGTAGCACTGGATGGTGGATCCCCACCCAGGTCTGGGACAACATTGGTCCTCATCCAGGTCTTGGACATCAATGACAACTTCCCTGAGTTTCCGCAGAGGCTCTATGAGGTGCAGGTCCCAGAAGACACAGCCATTGGCTCCTGGATAATTACCGTCTCTGCCAAGGATTTGGATGCAGGACATTATGGGGAAATATCTTACATATTTTTCCATGCATCTGAAGATATCCGTAAGACATTTGAAATCAACCCAGCATCTGGTGAAGTTCGTTTGATATCTAGTTTAGATTTTGAAGTCATTCAGTCTTACACTATAAATATTCAGGCAACAGATGGTGGAGGGCTTTCAGAAAAGTGCACTCTTCTGATTAAAGTAACAGATATAAATGATAACGCACCAGAAGTGACCATGTCATCAATTACAAACAGAATTCCAGAAAACGAGCCACAGACCTTAGTCGCTGTTTTTAGTATTCGAGACCAAGACTCTGGGGAGAATGGAAGGATGGTTTGCTCTATTCAAGATGATGTCCCTTTTATCCTGAAACCAACATTTAAGAATTTTTTCACTCTGGTTACCGACAAAGCACTGGACAGAGAGATGAGAGAGGATTATAGCATCACCATCACCGTCACCGACATGGGGATCCCCAGACTGAAAACCCAGCACAACATCACCCTGCTGGTCTCCGACGTCAACGACAACGCCCCCGCCTTCACCCAGCCCTCCTACAGCCTGTCCCTCCGCGAGAACAACAGCCCCGCCCTGCACTTCGGCAGCGTCAGCGCCACAGACAGGGACGCGGGCGCCAACGCCCAGCTCACCTACTCGCTGCTGCCGCCCCGGGACCCGCGCCTGCCCCTGGCCTCGCTGGTGGCCATCAACGCCGACACCGGCCAGCTGTTCGCGCTGCGGGCGCTGGACTTCGAGGCGCTGCGGGCGTTCGAGTTCGGCGTGGGCGCCACGGACCGCGGGGCGCCCGCGCTGAGCAGCCAGGCGCTGGTGCGCGTGCAGGTGCTGGACGCCAACGACAACGCGCCCTCCGTGCTGTACCCGCCGCACAACGGCTCCGCGCCCTGCACCGAGCTGGTGCCCAGGGCGGCCGAGCCGGGCTACCTGGTGAGCAAGGTGGTGGCGGTGGACGCCGACTCGGGCCAGAACGCCTGGCTGTCGTTCCAGCTGCTCAGGGCCACGGAGCCCGGGCTGTTCGGCGTGTGGGCGCACAATGGCGAGGTGCGCACGGCGCGGCCGCTGGGCGAGCGCGACGCGGCCAGGCACAGGCTGGTGGTGCTGGTCAGGGACCATGGCGAGCCCGCGCTGTCCGCCAGCGTCACGCTGCACGTGCTGCTGGTGGACGGCTTCTCGCAGCCCTACCTGCCGCTGCCCGAGGCGGCGGCCGAGCAGGCGCGGGCGGATCCGCTGACCGTGTACCTGGTGGTGGCGCTGGCGGCGGTGTCGTCGCTGTTCCTGTTCTCGGTGCTGGCGTTGGTGGCGGTGCGGCTGTGCAGGCGGAGCAGGGCGGCCTGGGCGGGTGGCTGCTCGGTGCCTGAGGGCCACCTTGCTGGCCACCTGGTGGACGTAAGCGGTACTGGGACCCTGTCCCAGAGCTACCAGTATGAGGTGTGTCTGATGGGAGGTACTGGGACAGATGAGTTTAAATTTCTGAAGCCAATTATTCCCAATCTTCCAGTCCAGGACACTGGTAGGAATGTAGCGGAAAATGAGAATTTTAGGAATAGCTTTGGATTCAACATCCAATAAAATTTTTTTTTTAAAAACATTTACTCTTTCATTATTCTTGGCAAACTGAGAAATAGTTTGCCAATTTATACTGGATTTCAGTTGTACAGTAGTTGCATGTATTATTCCTGACGCTCTTGCATCTGCTCTACAAATCTTTATTAGTTTTTCTGTTTTCTCTGTGTGTGTGTGTGTTTACTTTTTTTTTTTTTGTCAAAAATGGCATATTGGGCTGGTCAGGTTGTTCATTTGCTTATAGTCATTCTGGTAGACCAACGAGTTCAATTTCTTTCTTTCTTTCTTTTTTTTTTTTTGAGTTCAATTTCTTTTCAGGACTCATACAAGTATCAACCAATAAATGCATAAGTAAGTAGAACAACAACTTGATGTTTCTAAGTCAATTTTAGAAGTTGAAAAATGGCATATTAATGAAGTTGTTGCTCATTTTTTGTGGTAATCGTGTTGTTATCCAAAACAATGTTGTTTATTTGGAATGCAATCTAATGTTTTAAGAGTGAATTCCACAATATATGTAATTTACTTCTAGACATTTCATTGAAGTGTAGCTAAAGCAAAAATTTTAAATGCTGCTGAATCTGGGTGAGAAGTATATTGGATTTTATCATATTATTCTCCTTGAAAAAAAAATTCATCATAAACATTAAAAATGCTAATTTACCGTATTTAGTACTAGAGTACCTTTTTTTGTTAGTTTATAGTAAAGTGCTTTTCAAGATTTTCCTTTTTGACAAAATAAAAGTGATCACATTGGAAATTATTGATTTCTTAAGTAACTGTTTTTTAATTGTTGCTGATGCTAATGTTGTTTTGGGAGAAGAGTCTTATAAAGTTCTGATACTTTATATTCCTGTTGTTTTCTGTAAATATGCCATTTGCTAGTTTAAATTTGTATTATTTCATATTGTGTATTACTTAACTAGAATGTAGTTTATGGTATTACCTTGAGTAAACAATCCTCCAGCAGAAGAGTACAGTGAAAAATTTCTTAAGAAATTGAAATGAAAATTCAAACTGTTAATGAAATAAAGAACAAAGACATTGAATTTATAGTACAGTGCCATATACCCATATAATGCCATATTTGTAGAAAATACAAATATACAAATAAAAATAATTGAAGGAGAGAAGAAAGAACAGATGTAGGAAAGAAGACATGTGTTTATATGTAGGAGGATTAGAGTGCAGTGAGAAGTGAGAACTATACTAATGTCCATGACAGAAACTGTCTCTTCTAAGAGATTGTTTAAATTGATTGCAGCATTATTAAGTTGATTTAGTAGTGATCAATTGCTAAAAATAGATGTTATTTCTCTTTGCCCTTGAGAAGGTCAATCTCCTGATCCCCATGAAACCTAAGAATTTACTTGTAATTTTGGGACAAATCAAGTGATACTTTACATTTTTAATTAGGATGATATAGATCATGTAGACCAACACTTCCACTGAAAACAATGACCTAAAAAGGCACGTATATTGTCAGGTCACAGTTACAATTTAAAAGTAACCTTAAGAGATAAATGAACACTTGGAATCCTGGGAACTGTGAGCCTCTATAATGAGGGAGAAGTATAACAAATTAAGAAATTTATAGAAGACCCTCACAATAATAAATATGAATACCTAAGAACTGTATCTTCACCACTAGGAGGGTAAGCCTTCATGTCGAATAACAGCTTTGAACTTGAATTTTGATTTAAGGTGACAGATCCTAATAGAACCAAATGCAAACCTTCTATGAAGAAGGCTTATTCATTCTAAGCCTAGAACTATTATATAAATATTTTTGCTTAACCTTAACACAAAAATAACTGCATACATAAAGAAACATGACATCTAAGTGAGAGCCAGCAGGAGGGGGAAAAGTATGCAGAAATAAATTTGCAAACACTTCAAATATCTTAATTATTAGACAATCCATAATATGCTAATCACTTTAATTGAAATAAAGTTATACTTAAAGATGTATGGACAATAAATCTGAAAAGTTAGAAGACAACAGAATAGAACTCTTAGAACTGAAAAATATGATAATCGAAATTTGAAACTGAATAAAAAATTTTAGTAGAAAATAGATATATCCAAATAAAGAATTCATGGAGTGAAAGAAGTCAGAATATAATTTATCCAGCATGCAGCTCAGAGAGTTTAGAAGATGAAAGACACAAAGAAGATGGTTAGAAACATAGGTCAGAATAAAAAGGTTTAACATGTATTTAACCAGAATAACAGAAGGATCAATTATTTGAAAAAGATAATTGCTGGGAATTTCCAGTATTGATGAAAACACCAATGTAGTTTCAAGAGATCCAAATAAACCTGGCAGGATAAATAAAAGACATTCATACTGTGCTCGCTTTGGAAGCACATACACTAAAATTGGAATGATACAAAGAAGATTAGCATAGCCTCTGCACAAGGATGACATGAAATTCATGAAGCGTTCCATATTTTTTAAAAAAGATCTTCATACCTAGAAACATAATTGTGAAATTTCAAAAGACAAAGACAAAGAAATCTTAAAAAAGAAAAGAAAAGTAAATACCATGGGGAAAAGCATTAACCTTTAAACACAAGACTATTAGAGTGACAGCTATGTTCCATGTTGACAATTTCTCAATAGTAGCAATGGAAACTAAAAGAAAATAAGATATCTTCAATGTGCTGAAATGCTCAGTAGTTAAGTGTTGATCCATGAACCAAGAGGTTCCCCACTGGATTACTGGTCAACAGGCCCCAGATGCAGGCACTATCCCCAGTAGGGGTTGAGCAAAAGGAAGCCTATAGATGTTTCTCTCTCATCACTGTTTTCTACCTATCCCTCTCCCTTCCTCTCTCTCTCTAAAATCAATAAATATATATACAAATGTGTAGAAATAAATTAGCAAACTGCCTTACCTAAATTGTTTTTGTACATAAGAGTCATCAAATGAGCGCCCTGGCTGGTTTTGCTCAGTGGTTTGATTCTTAGTCAAGGGCACAGTCAAGATGCCAAGTGTCTCTCTCACATGGATTTTTTTTAATCTCTCCCCTCTCTCCTACTCTCTCTATACATATATGGAAAATCATCCTCTAGTGAGGATTAACACCAACAAAAAAGAATCATCAAATGAGAAAATCAAATCAACTGGATATCAGTTTGGTTTTAAATGAATCAAGATCATAAGAGAGAATTGCTGTAAAGACATTTTACTCTCAAATATACAACTTCTTATAGTTTTCCTCTGTTCATGTCTTACCACAATTCTGAATTAAGGAGTTTCTAGCCTTCTTCATCTCTAGTAACATCCATTTTTAGTCTAGTCAAGTCATCTATGAACATGGCCACTTTCTGAAGATTGTAGTCTCGAAGAAATGAAATCACATATTCAAAGATACTTCTCTTAATCTACAACTTATATTCTTCCTTGAAGGGCTCCAATCACCACTTATACCAATAAATTCTAAATTTGTCTCTGCAGCCCAAACCTCTTTTCTCACTTGCATTTATATAATGGAAGCTCATTTACATATATATTTAAATGGATGCTCTGTGGATACCTCAAACTCAACATGTTTTAACTTAAACATTTCCCTTCCTAAAAAAGAAACATCTTCTCCAGCTCTATACCCATTTTTCTTATCTCCCCTTCTTGTATTTACTTTATCAGTTAATACTCAGTTCCCTAAGCCACAGGCCCTTCTTATTCCAGTGCCTCTATATCTAATCTATCACCACATCAGATATATTTTATCTTGATTATTTTAATCACTGAATTTCTAGATGAAGCCAATCTCTGTATTATTGCAACAACTTCTAATCAGTCTTCTGCCTCAAGTCTTATTCCTTTCTAATTTATTCTTAACTTTGAAATAGGATGATCTTATGAAAAGTAAAAATATGGCCATGTCGTTTTCTATTTAAAGCCCTTTCATAATCTTGCATTGATGTAGAGGTCGAATGGCATGACACAAAATATTTGCTTATATTTTCAGTCTCAACTCCCTTAGTTTTTTCCTTTTGCTCTATTGCTCAACCATATTGATCCTATTTCAGTTCTTCCAAAACATGTCTTTCATTCTGGATATCATGTTTTTAGCTTCCTGAAAATTTCACCCCACAGTGAATTTTTGTTTGGATTACTCATACTCTTCTTCTATGTATCAATTTAGAGTCCCCTTTTCCCAGAGAAGTCTTTCCTGTACTTTTAAATTCTAGTTAGATAACCCTCATCTTTTATAGTTGCATACACTTTTGTTATCATGCCATTCTGTATAGTCTATTTTTAATGTGTAATCACTTCTTTGCCTCCACATTTCAGAACAGAAACTATGTCTATTTACTATTCTATTCCTAACATTTATCACCAGGCCTAGTAAAAAATATATGCTTAATTAATATTTGCTGAACAAATTGTTGAATGGATGCTTTTGGAAGACTTGGATCTGCAAAGTGAAACTCAGTCTAAATTGGGGTCTAATTTGTTCAACTTCTTTTTAATGTTCAGAAACTATACATATTTTATTCATTACTGTTGAGTATTTATTTACTTTTTATTGCTGCCAAATATGTCTCCTGTGGAGTATCCCTAAATAAATGGTACCATTTACCAAATCTGAAATGTCAGCCTCCCCCAAACAACTATTTGCATATACCAGGTTTAGTTTCCAGTGAACCTTATTCTTATTGTCTTAGACTAATTGTTGACAGCTAGGGACAACTAAGACCTCTAGTTTCCTGGAAACGTCTTGCCCACTAAGTCTATTACATAAAAGAGTTGTCCTAACTATTTTTAGTTGTTTTATATATTGCTTTCATAACTTATTGAAGATGAGAGAGCATAACTTATTTGAAGTTGGGGCTGTATCTTCAATATATGCTTTTTGTAGCCACCACAGTTCTTGCCAATTGTGGTTTACTGTGTTAAGGAATGAACAGCAACAGTATCACATATCACAAGGAATGCAACTTAGAAAAGAAAATAGGATTTTAGGAGGGAATATAATTTAAATCCATCAATAAA